TCCAAGACCTCCGGCAGTTCCTCCCATTCTTGGAGTTTGTACCTGGGGCCGGGATCGCAAAAAGGACCCGAGCCACACATTTCCCAGGTGTTAGGCCACGGAGTGAGGACCACGTGTGCTGATTATTCCTTCCTGTGTGTCGGTAGTTTTCATTAGTGGATGTGTGGTGTTGTGTGTTTTTTTCTTTTTTCGTTCCAAAGTCGTGGTAACTTTTTCGTTTTCTTCACGTAGATTCTGGGAGGGAGTGCTGCTTCCTTGTGTGTGTGTGTGTGTTTTTTTTTTTTACCCCTGCACTGAAAAGTAAATAGACTGGGCAGGGAGCTGACCATAGTGAGTTGTGAGTGGGTTTAGCCATCGGGCAGTCTAGAATGTTGTTTTGAAATAAGTAAGTGTGTGTGTGTGTGTGTGTGTGTGTGTGTGCGCGCGCTAAATAGGTTTCTTATCACAAATTGGCTTATTCATTGAATGCAGTGTGTTCTTGTATCTTGCTATTCTTTGGTTTAAAAGAAGCGTAGTTTTAGTGGTAGCTAAAAGTTTGATACGAGTGAAATCACATGTGCAGTTCTAAATAGTAATCATATTTTCTGTTTGTCCCTAGGTAAAGTTAGATTGAATAGCTGATATTTCCATCACCAGATTTCATGTTTCATAGATTGAAATTATTTCTCTGATTTTCAAGGTGTTGTCAAAAGTTAAGAATTCAACTTTGGCTTCTACTCTGCATTGTGCTCCTGTTCATCTTCCGCTTGTAATGATAGTTATAATGATTGTTACAATGATAGTCTGGCATTAGAAAAAGTTTCCCTAGAGATGCCAATTAAATGTAGGCTAAATAATTTTATTTGATTGAATTTATTTTTCATGATTTAGCTTGCTTGATCCCTGCTAAACAGTTTTCTTTTGTCACTAATGTTTTCTAGCATTTTCAAATACTTGCTAGGTCATTTTGAAATTGTCAGTGATTTTGAAACCAAGTTACTCGGTTTCTATAGCTAAGAAACATGGCATACAAATATGATAAAGGAAAACTTAACATTCCATTCCAAGAGAGGAATGCTTACTGATGAGACAAATTGTCTTTTTAGAAAATTTTCTTTACTTTTTGAAAAGTGAATAAGAATGCTTAACAAGCCTGTCTGTGCGTCTGGCTGTGGCGGTCTGGCCATCCGCGCGTGCTGTGACCTGAAACAGCGGGCGGACTCGGGCAAGCCCTGCGTTAGGGTGCGGACCAGGGCGCGGCGGCCTCCTGGCATCCTCAGCCCCGCGCGCCCCACCTGGGGTGGGACGTCAAAGTAAAACCGAAATCAGATGGAACAGTATAAAAATGTTAAATTCTGGTCTTATTTACGATAGAAATAAATATCCTTCCATCTTGATTTAAGAAACTTAGTTATAAAATTCTACATGAATGATTTATACGAAGAAATTAATATGAAGGTGATACTCCGTTTGCAAAACTAAGTTTAGTACATTTTCCCCCAGTGTTGGATGCATTTTCTAAAATGAGGCCTGCTTAGGTAATACCTTGGAGACTCACTAAACAGTTTTTTCTTAGCATTCTTTAAGGAGTGAAGGAAGCTTTGCAAAAATATTAGTACTGTCTCTACTCAAGGGATTGAACTGGTAAGGAATAACTTAAAAATCATTTCCGGGAAGCTTCACAGATTAATGCTCTGAGTACACATCATTGAACAAATATTTATTGAGTTCCTTGGCACAGGCCAAGAACCATGCAAGATACCAGGGAAAAGTAAGACATATACTACTTCTTCACTGTTGGAGATATAATGAAGATGCTGGCTTAGTGAGACTATTCAGTGAATTGACTTCTGGCAAGGAAAAATACTCATGTATGGCCAGTGAACGCTCCCTTGACCAACCTGAAGTTTGCAAAATGAAGGCTTTGTCACTGATTTAAAAAGTGAAAAAGTCACTGATTTTGACCATCAACTTGGAAAAAAAATGAGGGAGTTTGAAGAGTGACTGATTTTACATCAGGTTTTTTGAGCTCTTCTGTTTGTATTTATTAGAAACAGAACACTGGAAGAACATTGCTGGAATTCTGAATCCAGTGCGGCGTTTGGCCACATTTCTTGACATCATTTGACATGGTTGACTGTACTGGTTTCTTAAAACCCCTTCTTTCCTCAGTTTTGGAGATAACACACTTCTGTGTTTGTTTTCTACCAGCCTTTTTTGGTCTTCTACTGTAGAAATTCCCTTTTATAGACCTTTTCCACCTATTTATTCCTTAAAGGCTCATGTGCTGCCACCTCTTGCTGCCTTTTCTTCTCAGTCTACACAAAAATCCTTGGGTGATTTTTTTTCTCTCTTCTAGTGGTATTCCTCGTGATTCTGATTTTTAGATCCAGGACCTAAACCAATCTTCTCTCCTCCATACCTGAATATTCAATCTTTACTCTACATTTCATACAATGTCATACAGACATCTCACATTCAATTTGTTTGTGATTGAATTCATGATATTCCTGCCATTCCCCTTCCCATAAAAGAAAATCCCCGTAGTTCAGTGAATTGTACCATCATTCTGATCTATAAATGTGGAAGTCGGCCTTGATTTTTCCCTCTACCCCACCACAAATACAGATAATCAGAGCAAGCCAAATAGATTTGATTTAATCACTTTGATTCATCCACTCTCTTCTGAATCAGTATCATTACTTCAGTTCCGGAACCCATCCTCTTTGTTTTTCATCTGGATTACTGCAATAATTTTCTAGTACCTTTCGCTTCCCCATCTTGCCTTCCTGTGGTCCATGCCCTTTACTGCAATCATGGTAATCCTTATTAAACACAGCTCAGGTCAAAAACTCTTTGGGAAATTTTTTTACTATCAAAATAATTTCTATACAACGTAACTTATGAGGTCCTTCATGACCTGGTTCTTACCTATCCCTCCAGCTCCATCTCTTATCACATTACTCATTGACCACTACACTCTATTCATCTTTTCAGTTCCTTGAATGTGAAATGTTCTTACCCCTGAGCTGGAATATGTTACCCTCTTGACCTGGCCAACTCTTCATTCTTGAAGTCTCAGTATAAGAAAGCTGCTTCCCCTTCCCAACTCTCTTTTTGTTCTGATCATATGCTTCACTGGCCACTTTTATAGCGGTTTTCTTTTGTATTGACATAGCTTGTTTAATTGGCTTGTCTTCCCCACCAGACTATAAACGTCACAAGGGCAGGTACCACATTGATTTTGCTCACCATGGCCACCTGCCTAACATGTAGTAGAAATACTAGTCAAGAAATTTCAGTTAAATGAATGAAAGCTGTTTTTACATTCTACAATGATTTTCCTTCTGAGCCCACTCCCACCCTAGAGTTTCTAACAAATACCGATTTTTCTTTTACCCTTGCTTTTGCTTTTCTGCTCTATTAGCTTGAGATTTCAAAAATGTTTACCTGAACACTAATTTTAGAATTAAATTTATGTGTGTGTGAGTTTTTGAGTTCTTTGAGAAAAATGGCATAGTGAGTTGAATAAATCACATTAGATTTTGATTTCTTTATGTAAATTTGGAGTAAACTTATTAGTTTGTAGAACATCTTATCTCTTCTTAAGAACTGAAATACATTAACCTAATTAAACTAATTTCTGTGAAAATATATTTTGAAGTATTGAAATAAAGATGATATAAGCATTAAAAAAATAAATATATGGGAATCCAGACCTGTAAATATGGTCCTTTTTTTGTGGCAGCTTTGGCCTCCTTTTATCCCAGCGGTTCTCAACCTGTGGGTCGCGATCCCTTTGGGGGTCGAATGACCCTTTCACAGGGGTCGCCTAAGACCATCGGAAAACACATATATAATTACATATTGTTTTTGTGATTAATCACTATGCTTTAATTATGTTCAATTTGTAACAATGAAATTGGGGGTCACCACAACATGAGTTACTGTATTAAAGGGCTGCGGCATAAGGAAGGTTGAGAACCACTGCTTTATCCTTTTTGTCAATCCATCCATTATACAAATATTTATTGAGAATTTACTATGCCCCAGGCACTGTTTTAGGTGGCTGTGGATACTGAAGTGAACAAAGCAAAGTTCCCGCCCTCATGGGGCTCATTCTCTTGGATGAAGCTGACAGTAGACAGAATATATGTGTATATGTGCATATGCACACATCTATTCTCTGTTGTGGCTTGTGTGGCGCAGTTGGTTGGGCATTATCCTGAGCACTGAGGGGTTGCCAGTTTGATTCCTGGTGAGGGCACATGCCTGAGTTTCAGGCTGGATCCCAGTTAGGGGGTATGTGGGAGGCAGCTGATAGATGTATCTTCAACTCTCAAATGGATGCTTCTCTTCCTCTCCTTTCCTCTCCCTTCCTCTCTTTTTAAAAATGAAAAAAAATCTTAAAATAAAGCATATATGTAATTTTTTAATGCAAAAATGAACATCTTTTTTAGTATAGTGTGTCCCATGCAAGTATGTCC